CTTTATAACTCCACCTGCAGGCGGATTTCTAAGCCGCTGCGCACGAATGCTGATCTGCAGTGGAACCAGCGGAACAGAGCAGAGCCTACGGTCCCTGCTTCAGCGAGGCGTCAGCCAACGGAGCGTAACGCGCCGACAAACCTGTCAGCTGATCGATACTGCAGTGAGGCACAACGAGCAGCTCCCAAGGGACAATTTGATTGCCATTTCTATTAGCTGTGGCAGCCGACCAGGCTGCACTTACTCCCTGGAGAACGGACCGGTCTGGATCACTGCGCCGATGCCCATATTTCTAGGCTACAAAGAAAGGCGCAGGCACCAGCAGACGGAAGTTAGGGGCTGCTTAATGACTTCAAACATGGTTTGTATTCCCTTACGTCCTTGAAACATAGGGCAGAAACCACTGTCTGGTTTCTGGTCTAATTGCTAGTCTGGTTCCTGGACATAGAGGTAAGAGGATGCACCAGGGGGTTATGACTCAGGGAATACGCATCGGCACGCAGCAAGTAATGTGTCCAATGCAACACATGAAGCTAAATACAGAATCACAGAATGGTTTGGGTTGGAAGGGACCTTAAAGACCATCTAGTTCCAACCCCCCTGTCATGGGCAGGGACACCTTCCACTAGACCAGGTTGCTCAAAGCCTCATCCAGCCTGGCCTTGAACACTTCCAGGGATGGGGCATCCACAGCTTCTCTGGGCAACCTGTCCCAGTGATCAGATCAGCCTGCAACATCAGCAGAGTCCCTGAACTGTAGGTTTAAACACACTTTCACGTGCAAAACACTTCTGAACTTTTGTATTCCCTCCTTACTCTTTTCCCCTAAAAACAGAAACTGATACTCTGGAAAGTTGATTTAAAAATCTCATGCACTGCTCAGCGTGGTTCTGTTCTCAAAGCCCAAGAATAACTGTTAAACCCAACACAGAAACAGAGTGCAATGTGTGATCAACATTTTACAGAGGTATTTTATAGACCTCAAATAACGTAAAATAATTCATGCAGATTCTCGTTTTCCAGCCACAGGATTTGTCGTGGAACACGGCAAAGTTTGCAGAACGTTGCTTAAGATTTCTGCGTATGGTTTTCAAGTGACATTTTTAGAAGAATTATCTTGAAAAAATAAGTGTTGTGTAAGATGAATGAAGCGCCAGCTGATGGAAGTCAGAAGCAATGTAAACCCACAGTTTTCAGTCATCTTGTCTCATTTGACGTAGTCGTTTCATCCTCGAAATACCAAATTTAAATGGTTACCCAGTAATTGTTTATAATTTTTCTTTCAAGGCTGTGTGGATCTGTCCAAAGACAGACGATCTGGAGAAAGCAATTTGCAGGCACGAAGTACAGACACTTTGTAAGCAACACTGTTCCCAAGCTTACTCTCACTGCTCCAGAACCTTGTGCCTTAACACACTTCTCTACCTCCCGCCGCCTGTGGTGCCTGGCAGGAGACAGGAGCTATCCCTACAAAGCTGGCTGCAGCGTGACTGGCAAGACCGGTGACGGCACACAGACCCGAGCCGATCGGTCCCACAGCCTGTTAAACGGTAAAGCACCGCTCTCGCCAACACCACTTTCGCAGGTGTCGCACTGCACACAGAAGCTCCAGAGCAGGCCGTTATGAACTGCTTCTCGGCCTCCTTCTCACAGAACGGGCTGAGTCAGAAAGCTGACTGAACAGCATCTCCTTCTGCGGGACGTTACAGTCTTATTTTGCGGCGTAAAGTTTTGTTTTTCACCGTGAAAACAAACCTCAATCCTGCTGCCAAATACTGTTTCCTTCCTTTGAGTTTTAATGTAGAAAATGAGCTTCTGCAAACAATGCCTCTATAGAAATCCTCTAACTCCCCACGAAACAATTCATAAACACGCACCCTCCCTTCGAAACCATCGGCCATGTGCTCTATTTTGAGAGAACAATACCAACTAAAACACCCCCCACCCCCAGCTAAAACGCTCTGGGCTCAGAGAATTTTTTGTTGAAAAAGGTGAGTCGATATATTCAATAAACCAAGAGTTAGGAGATGTTTAATCTGGCACCAAGGGATACGGCTGGAGAAGAGGAATTAGGATTTGCTATATTTCTGAAAAAACAGTCAATATGAAATAGGAAACTACAGCCCACGTCACGTCGGAGATACCCTCAGATAGTGTAAAACTAAATGGCTCAGAGGGTAAGCAGAATCAAGCCGTGGGTCTGTAACCATTTTTTAACATTACTGTCAGTATTTGCATTTACACATATTTCTGTACAGCAGTATGTTACCTTCCTTAACCGGCTTCTCCTGCGAAAACTTGCTTGGTGTTTCTGCCTTCGGGGGTTGCATTACCTCGTACGTCTCTCTGTGTTTATTCCTTAATTCCTCATACGTGATGCCTTTTTTTTTACGACTTTCTTCTGGAATTGGACCAGGATCTGAAAGCAAACCGAAACACTAGAAACGGTCACACACCAAAACATGGCTACAGCCTGTTCTAGAATAACACCAGTTCATTACAGCTCAATCCTAAATCAAAAGGGACCGTGACAGCTGCAATTCCAAATGCAGCTGAGCATGCACGCCGTCTTTAATTAATCCATTCCTTTTACCCTTTTCATTTTGTCAAGCTGCTTTGGAAAATTGGCAGTTAACTCCTTTTCTTCATTTTACCCAACGGAAATCCTAACAGCCACGAGGTAGCTGATGCATAAAATAGTCCTGGTCAGTTTATGTGAAAGCGATGATAATCACACATTTGCTACATTTGTGATTTCTGAAGAGAAATCTAGGTGAAGCTCAAGGGTTTGCATCCAGACTTTAAATTCTGCTTTCCAAGAATCAGGACTACATCCACCACATGTCACCTGATAGACATTTTATCCTTTTGTCTACATTTACAACGCAGTTTTGATTCTGTAATTAAGGTTCTACCAACTATCCATGTTTGTGATGAATTTCCATGACACATTCACACCTGACACTTTTAGAGGGCTAAAACCAAGTTGCACGAAAGGGCTTTTCTGTGGAATAAACCCTTTTCCGTGACTGAGTTAACAACCCCAAACTAATTCAAAGTAGGAAACCCTGCAGTTGACAGTAACTTCCTCCTGTGTTCGCCAGAGGCCCGAGTTCAGAGTGGCATGTCTCCCCTGCAATAGCTGAGGACAGGGCTCATGCTGGAAGGAGGGGAACAGCTGCACAGACCAGCGCTTGAAAACCATTTCAGCGCTCCGTGAGAAAGTCAGCTGTTGCTGGAGGGAACACAACACGCATTCAGTTCTCGGAAGATTTAAACGTTGGTCACATTATAAAAACCAGTTTACTGTCACCGAATGACAGTACTCCACAGTCACAGCCCCGCTGCTGGTGAAAATGAAATCACCTCAGGAAGGCCGGCAGACGGCCGAGGTTACGTCTGCTTCGGCGCAGGGGAAGGATGGCACATCCCCCTTAACCTCAACCAAACAGAACTTCAAGTCAGGCTGAGATTTTTCAGGTTTACTTTCACAACAGATTAAACCTTTGGTGTTAATTTACAATCTTTACTTGCAATCAGAGCTACAAAACATGAAAAAACCCTGAATTTAATTTACAGTTAGACCACAAAACATCACCTGCATTTACCTTCTGTGTAAAAAACATCCCAGGAACTTCAAGCTGTTTCACTCAAAACCACTACGTTGTACCACGTATGTGTGCATGGGATGAAAATACACAGTTTAGGAAGAGAAGTATCCAAGAGAAAGGCGAGAGTCACTGTACTACGAACTGCGAAATGCTAAGCCAAAACACACCTTGAGCAGGGTAATCAGTAATTCCTGTAGGTGAGGATTCATTCAGGGAAGCGCTGAACGGAACGGGTTCGTAACTTGAGAGGGCTCTATCTGTTGAACTATAATCATCTGAATAGCTAGAAGAAAGTGGGAATCCAGCTTTTGGGGAAGAAGGTTCAGTAAAGGACTGTGAAGGCATGTCTGAAAATTCAGATTTCCGACTGGAACGGCTGAAAAAGAATACAATTAAATATTAAAATCAGAAATACTAGAGTTAAAAATGGAACTGTAAGAGTAACAATATATGCAGTGCATGAAAATAGTATTTTATTTTAAATAGGTTCGTTTCCAACATGAATTATTGGCTTAAATAAAAGAGGGTGTGGGGGTGTATCTGTTGGGTTTTGTGTTTGGATTTTTTTTTGTTTTAGCTTTTTTTTGGCATTGCAGACATCTATGCAGTCCTTTCCCCAACAGTCTTCCCTTCCTCCCAGAAAGTTCTCATACCTGAAAACCTCCAGGACACAAGACAAAAGAGACAAAGTATTATGCACTTTACAAGACAAAAATGACAATCCCTTCCCCCAGGGGGTCTTCAGACCAAACAACACATCAGACACAAACAGTACAGGGTGTGTCCATGTAACTAGAGATAGCATGAACTACAGTTATTTTTCAAGGCTTTTTAGGAAGTACTTGCATTTGAAAACCCTTAATCATTGGAAGGTGCTGTAATTGGTCAGCACTGAATAGCAGAAAAAAGGAGAATTAATCTCAGGGAAATGAAATTATGAAGGTTCACTGACTTGTTGAATTAGTTATTCAGCAGAAACATTAATGAGTTTTCTCTTAAGAGGGAAAGGTAAGAGCATACAAAGAATAACAGGTTAGGAAACAGATGCCTGATGCTGTCAAGTGTTCCCCACCTACTCGGAATGGCCCTGCAAAACACCGCATGGCAACATCTCCATCAAGAATGCCACCCCCTGATGCCCCCTGAACATCTCTGGAGCATTTCTTCATTTTTATTTTGAATTTCTGCTTAGCTGTACTTCTAGTGCATACGAAAACATTTGCAATTAGTCTTGGTTTTAATCTCCTATTAAAGAGCTAAGCCATTTTATTGCTTCAATTATATTTTTACAGTATATGCAAACACAGCTTTAAAGAACTATCTGATCTTTTAGCTCCCTACCTATTTTTAACTGCAAATCAGAATTACCAAAATAGGTTAATTAATAGATATATAATGACCAGGAAAATGTAAGGGTTTCTGTTGTTGGCTTAAAAGCGTAGTATGTATGGACAACAATGCAATTTGAAAGTATTTAAATGAATCATTTGACCAGGGGTATAAAAGGGAATTTATCATAGAATCACAGAACAGTTTGGGTTGGAAAGGATTTTAAAGATCATCTAGTTCCAACCCCCCTGACATGGGCAGGGAGAGATTTTACAATTAGAAAAGAATATGCCATTAAAGGTTGAAGGGACTTAGGGATGCAGCAGATTATGGCATTTAATCAGCTTCTCACCTGGACTAAACAGTTAGTGATCATGACAACTTCTTATTAAAAACTGCCGGGAGTGGGGGGGTAGGGGGAAGGGACAAGTCCAGCTTTTATTCAGTGGAGTTTATACAGTAAATATATAAAGCGGTAATTCCCGAAATTATGTTTGATGCCATAAAAATGTAAACATTGCAGAACATAGGTAAATCTTGCAGACATAACTGTCACAAATCTAAACTTATAAACGAATAATTTAATCAAGTCCTTTATAAGCATTTATCGTGTCTGAGCACACACAGAGCACGACTGCTCCTCACGATCCAAACACTATCCTCCCAGCTTTGACTCAAGGGTTTAAGTGAGATATTACAAAAGCAGTTTGCAATTAAAAACCACTTGAGGTAAAAAACATTGTGGAAAACAGGAAATAGTTTTAAGAACCTGATGAGTTTCTCATATGTACAGCATAATGCTCTTACAGATGTAGGGGATTTAAACAAACAGCAGTAAGTTTGACCACCACGCTTCTTCCTGCGCTGATATTGTTTACTGAGCCCTTTCCTTTGATAAACACTGAAATCATTTCCACCCTCTTCCTACTTCAATCAAACTGAACTATGGGAAAAACTTCCAGAATGTAACACTATTTTATCTCAGTTAACCGAGTTTACATCTGAACTAAGGAGGCAACTTCTGCTGTCACACTACTGTAAGTAAATGCCACAGGAAAACAATGTCTGAGTTTACAAGGAATACAGTAAACTCAGTAAAATGTTTGTTTATCTACTCCTCAAAGCGATCAGTTTTATGTAAAGAGTTCAAAATGCCTGTTTTATAGCTGGCCAAGTGATTCAGATACAGCTTCCTCAAAGTGGTGGATTTGGGGCAATAGGGGAAAGAGGGAAAGTGCAGCTCTGAAGGTCTTCGAAAGCTGCAAATGTAGCCATGATCTCTTAGCATTTAAAATGTCCTATTTACGAGTAAGATTTAAAAGAGAATTAAATTCTTACTTAGGTGAACTATGTCTCTGAGCTTGTCGTAGAACATCTCCTATTGGGGAATCCTTCAGCCTCTTAAATTTCTCGCTACAGATTGGCAAGTAGGATATCTTTCCAGCCAGGTATCCACACATTCCAGCAACTTTTTTAAAAGAAAAAGAGAGATGGCTTTACATGCTGTATCGTAACATTCGACATAGGTTGAAAACAATAACTTCAGTTAAATCACATTGTATAAAATCCTTGAATAAAAGGAAATAAACTAGTTTAGCTCTAAAGCAAAACCACACAGTAACCATCTCCCTCTGCTTCTTTCACGGACAAACGGTACCACGAACGCACGCAACAGCTGAACAGCGACACAGAGCAAGGATGTAGGCATGGCACCAGCACCAGGTGATTTCAGCCAGTGCTTGATGAACGCAAGGTGACAAAAAAAGAAAGACAATTGCAATCACTTTTTCCCAAGACCCAGAAATAACTATTAACTGTCAAAGATGACAAACAAGTAAGGAAGAAACAAAGGTCGTAAATTCTGCGAATTTCATCCATCAGAACAGTCAGATCTTGAAAAGGCTTTCACTAGTACGAAGAGAAGTCTAAATAAATTTAGTATTAGGCTCAGTATCTTCCAAAGAGGATTCTGTGATATAGTTGCCAGAGGGCAAACTACTGAATTAGCCGAAGCCTCGCAATCTCTAGGCAAATGCTTTCAATTCAGAGCACGAGATATTTTCGTCTGCTAGACAGGACATAAGAATAAATGATCAGGATAGCTCTTTCCAGGCTTAAAACTGGTAATTTCCATCAACCAGCTCCTTCAAGCTTTATGAGTGGGTCAAAGAGAATATGAAGGAACAAAGAAGGATTCAATGGCAATTAACAGAAGCTTTGTTGTTGTTCTTCTAGGAGGAAAGGACTAGATCCTTTTTTCATCAGCAACAAGTATTTTCTAAATACAAAGATTAAAGACTCCCAATCATCTTGAATTCAGGAGTTAATTACCAGTAACATTAATCCTCTGAGGTCCTCACACTGTAGATCAAATTGCCTGGGCATCAATATAAAAGGGGATTGCACCCTACCCTGCTGTAGTGGTACTAAAACTGTGATTCCTGTTCTAATGACTATTTTCAAAAGGAGGTTAAAAATCCTTTTCCAAGGGAAAAGAACAGCCACAATTATGAGTGAAGTTTACAAAGGAGAAATGCAAGGGTTAGCTGTTTAGCAGGTCAAAAAAAATTGGAAGACATCTGAAATGCTATAAATATGTGCAGAGGGAAAAATTACAAGCTCCTAAAAGGAAAAACAGCCCAACAAGAAAGCAAACTATATATTTAGCAAAATAAAGATAAGCAGCAAAGGTGATTAATCTTTGGCATAAATTACAATGAGAAAGTCTCTTTTTCATGAGGTCTTCCAGTCAAGAAAAGTGGAAACATCTCTCTGGAAGACATTTTATACAGAGTAATTATTGGCTAAAATATCTGGTTTCTATTATTATAGAACTAACAGGTAGATGATCCAAATTTTCTATTTTCAAACTCGGCACACTAAATCAGATATTGTTGCTCTCTGCTTGTTCTGTATTTACTGTGACCAGACCTTAAGCCGATCAGCAACAGATAAAAAAGGCCAGGTCCCACTGCAGTCCCACATGGAGTAGGACATATGGCTCTTAGCCTTCTTTGCCAAAGAGGGGCAGAGGACCAACAGCTCTAGGCCATGCTGAAGGAGGTGCTGTCCACGTAGCATATCAGTCATGACTAACTGAAAAGTCTGTTAAATTGACAAAGTGCCTAGAAGACTACTGAGAAAAGTTATGAGTAATTCCTTTAGGCAGAAGAACATCCCGGAATTTGAAAATCCCTATGTAGAAAATTAAATGACTCTCAACTTTCAGATAAAACCAAGAGGGGCAAAAGCAGGGAAAGACATAAGATAGAGACTGAAAAAAAAAACCCCTGACTTAACTAGGTTGCTTAGATATCAAAGGCCAAGCACTGTAATCAGGCATAGATACTCTTCAGAGCAAGACTCCAACAACCAAGAGTGACACCGTTATCAAAGACAGCCTTGATCAACCAAAGGATGCAGCAGCAGTATGTTCAGATCAGTGACACCAGAAAAGTAACAACTATCTTGAACTGCCTTACTGTTGTTTAACATCAGCTAGCTATGAGCTAGTGGCAGTGCCTGGAACTGCACATGCTCTTCTTTCGGAGCTCATGGAGAAAAAACTCAATGCCAACTGTCCTGCTTCCTTTGATGAGATTTCCCTGCAGGAGGAATGTGCAGTTAAAGGATAAGACATAGGTTGGACCTGTAAACTATGACCCTGGCAATAGCTTTCAGGATGATCCTGAAGACAGTAGGCATGTCTGACCTAAACAATAGGAGGATGAAATGAAAACTGCTTAACTCAGGCCTTTTATATTCCAACTATGTCCCAGAAAAAAACCCTGTATTTAAAATGCACGTAAGTCACACAAAGTTACCTACTCAAAAACCACCAAACCAGAGACTTTATGGAAAATTCTTTCAGTATAAACTGAAAGTCCATATGCCTACCAGTGTACATCAAAAAGGAGAAGCCAGAAGGATTTTGGCTTATAACCTTAACATCAAGAAGAGTTGGTTTTGTCCAGTTGCTCCTTATTTTTTCCCCTTGATGTCAAAACCTAGTTCTGTTACACAGAAGGAACGTGGCCGTTAACTAGAAATGCGTAGGAGCTATCAGGGAAATAGTAGTTTTATTATTTATTAGAAACGTTTGTGTTAGAACATTGTCTGGCCTTCAAAGAAAGCAAGTACAACTTAGCATAAACAAATGGCAGCCCTCATCTCTCACATTCATTTATCTGCTTAAACAACACTTCCTTCACTGGAAATCCTGGGGTTTACCCTCTTCCCACTGAAGTAAGCCGTAAACGTAACTGGTTGTATCTGGGCAGATTGGCAAGATGGCAACTTCCTGTTTTACTGTCATGTATTCCATTGAAAAGGTTAATTTATTAATTTATTATTACGCTCAATCCAAAATCATTCACATGAAATTGCTGTTTTCCTACAATTGTACATACATAATGTCCAGGACAAAAAAAGCACCAAAATAGCCTGAATGGGACAAGTGAGACGCATGAATAAAGACCTTCAAATTAGGAAGGGAGGGGTGGGTGTACTCTGGCAAAGTAATTTTAAGTAAGCCTGTTCAGTGTCTACTTACAATGCTTTGAGCTTAAATTCTTACATTACGCTTGTCAAGCATATTTAAAATCCTACAATTTTATGGAAAGCCTGTAGACAAAACTTGTCCAAAATGCGCTGCACAAATTCATAGATGGCGAGTAACCGAAATGCTCTACCCCTTGACAGCGAGTAGGTTCCGGCAGTACGAGGTGCTGTCGTTAAGATAACTAAGAAATTGCTGACTGACAGAATGAACTGCAGCAAGGTGAAAAGTACTCACAGGATGCATCAGATCACTTACTCCTGCGCAGGCACAGTCGTACCAACGTAGGCATTGATTCTACAATTCGACAAGTGACAGATTCTCCAGCTGGGAGAGGGTAATCCTGGTTATATATACAAACTGGAGAACAAGAGGCTGGAGAGCAGCCCCACGGAAAGAGATCTCGGGGTTGGGGCTTGACAGCATGCTGAACGTGAGTCAACAGTGAGCCCTGGCAGCCAAGAGGGCTGACCGTGTCCTGGGGTGCACCCAGCACAGCACAGCTAGCCGGTCAAGGGAGGCAACTGTCCCACTCTACACTGTCCTGGTGCAGCCACACCTTGAGTGACTCGATATAAGGACATCAAACTATTCGAGAGTGTCCAGAGGAGGGCGACCAAGGTGGTGAAAGGACTCCAGGATATGACCCTCAAGGGCAAGAGGAGCAGCCGAGGTCACTTGGTTTGTCCAGCCGGGAGAAGAGAAGGCTGAGGGATGACCTCATCGCAGCCTACAACTTCCTCAAGGTGGGGGGCAGTGGAGGGGGAGGTGCTGATCTCCTCTCTCGGGTGACCAGCAACAGGGCACATGAGGAAGTGGAATAAAGTTACGACAGGGGAAGTTCAGACTGGATGTCAGGAAAAGGTTCTTCACACAGAGGGCGGTTGGTCCCTGAGCAGGCTCCCCGGGGAAGCAGTCACAGCAGCAAGCCTGAGGCAGTTCAAGGGGCATCTGGATGACCCTCTTAATCGCATGGTTAAGTTTTAGGCAGCCTTCGGAGGATCAGGGCGTTGGACTTCACAATCCTTATGTCCCTTCCAACTTGAGATACTCCACAATTCTATAATTCTAGAGAGTGGGGTCACGGTGAAACAGGCAGCTGGTCTCACGGGAGTTACATCTGCGTAACAGACTCCAGAACTAAGGCATGAATACAAGGTGAATTTATATGTAGCTTTTTACTTACATGCAACTTTTGTAAAAGAGCCAAATCTTGAACTATCTTTTAGAACACCTGAAAATGAGGATCAAAGTAATTAGTCATAAGTTATTAAGAATTACGCTGAATAAGATCACCTGTAGTTACGTTTGTAGGTTAGTTTGTAGTTCTGTTCGTAAGTAGCAGTTTACTGTTTTACACTTAAATGTTGGAGAAAATTCAAGAAAACCTACCACCTGAAATCCCCACAAAACTATAAAGATCTAACAACTACCTCGTTAATCATTATCCCACACAGAGCTACTACACACTATAGAGTAGACTGTTTCATAATCCCTGTGATACTGCATTTGTCAAACACCTAAAATGAACATTAATTTGATTTTAGATTAAAGTTCTGCTCCTTCTTTGGTTTTAGGAACTGTAGGTCATGTAGCTGGAGAGTCTGATCTTCTTTTAATTACAAGTAGATTTGACATTGTACTATTATAGTGACTTTATTAACAGCAGAAATACATTTCATCTGAGCAAATTCCAATAAACCCAAAGTACATTTACACTTTACCTTTCCTAATGAAGAAACTAGTAGCAAGCATGCTCACTGCAGCCAAAGGGAAAGCTGTGAAGAAGAAGAAAAGTGGCTTAAAACACGATTTTCAGTATTTTCAACTATATTTAACGAACTATACAATGAGAGTTGCATGGCCTTACTGAGCTCATTTGTCTAAGAACCTAAGTATATACATAATTAACAAACTGTAAGTTATGAAACACACTCAATTCCAGAAGACCTACTATAAGTTGCGCAGCACTGCTTAACGAGTCATCCTGTCTCCATCAGACTTCATGCCTCCTCAACTACAAAAGCCAGTGCCAGATGGGATAAAGCTCTAAGGAGAAGATTCCGGGTCTTGCTACAGCTGCTACAGCAACATTTGCAGAACTTCAAACGAGAGAAGCATACCCAGTTCTTCAGGACAGAAGGCATGTTACTTAAAGGCCAGTGCCTCTGAAAATTTTTGATATCCTAACTCTTGATTTAACATAAGAACTTCGGAAAAAGTCTAAGTCTACAATGTCATAAACTACAATGATTGAAACCAGGTAACTTGTTTTATTCACTAGCAAATTAAAGAACAGGGCAGCTTTTTCTGTAGCTTATGGATCAAACCATACAGCTCAGGAGTAGGGTCAGGAACGCAGAGATGACAAACATGGAAGAGTATTACTGCCTACTGCAATCAGCTTAACAATTCACTGCAGAGAGGGCAAGTGGCAAGAAGCATTTGAAGATGGCAAGAAACTAAAGGAATACTTTCTTCAAGCAATGGTAACTATCATACTGGGAAGATTCATTTTGAAACTGTTTGTAAAGACCACCACCCCTACACAAGATACAGTGACACAGAAATAACGAACAGGAGAGAAGACTACAGTTAATTAACATTAAAGATTTAGATGTGCCATAATGAAATCACATTTTAAACAAGCCTGAAAAATACGGATGTTACAAAATGGCTTAATGACTTTAGCTTTACCTAGAGGAGAAGTTTCTCTAACAGCACTAGTTGACTGTAGCATTGTGATGCACAGAATCTGCTAATTAAGTCCATATTTGAAAATAAATTATGTTTTTCAGCATTTGGATGGCATAGTATGAAAATATACTTTGCAAACTAACAGTTTATTCCTTCACAAATTCTGACTGGTCTAATTTAGGTTAGGAGTCCAACCAACATTTTAAGGTAAATATGATTGAATGTCACCTAAAAAAAAACCCCAAAACCACAAGACTATTGGCTCTTTGGTTTATAAGCAAGATTACAGTAACACCTCAAAATAGAGAATAAAATCTTCTGATCTAGTAAAGATTAAAACCCTGATGCTTTTAGAGATTCTAGTCCCAGATTTTTCAAAATTCAGAGTTCTAGATTTTCCAAGATACAGAATGGCAGTGCAGATTTGAAGGTAAATTGTAAGATGGGGAAAAAAAAAATAATCAAGGGAGGAGGCGGTTAAAAAAAATCCAAAAGACCTTATTAACAGGGGACTCTAGTCTAACCCTTAGAGGTCTGACATGATTTATTGGCCAACACAAATATTCCAGACATCAAAGACAGGTTACACACTCCAGTGGAAACAGCTGCCAGTATGTGAGCACATAAAACCACCTGATGGTAACTAGAAATTAAAGGAGTAATACATAAATGATAATTGGCTTCATACTTAAAAATTTATATGAAAAACTATTCAAATGTGGAAAAAAACCACAAAATGAGCATGATAAATCAGAAAACATTAATGCTTTTCATCTTTACATGCAAAAAGTACTTTTTTGCTTCAGGAACAGAACAAATCCTAGGAAAAACAATGAACGGCTGATATATCAACAGCACATAATTAAGAACAACAATGTAATGTACCCTAGTCATAGCGGGTTTATGGGGAAAAAGTCGTATCAATGTGGCTTGATTTTGTTATCGAGATTAAAAGTGCGAAGGATAAAATTGTAGATTGTAACGTGACTTTTTACAGTACTAGAATTTCTATTATATGACAATGCGATTACAAAAATCAGTAATACCAGTAAAGTATATATTAAACTGAATTATGAAATGACTAGTAAACATTTCCGAAACTACTGCAAAACCAACTGGCTTAGTAAGAAATGGCCAAAATTGGCTACAGCTTGAAATTTGGATGATCAAATGGAAAATACACAAATTCATAGTAATATCTGACTAACAAGAGCTGATACAGTAAGAAGTGAGGAAGCCAGGGCAGTCACACAGGCAGTCCACACCTCTTTCAAAGGGGCATTCAAATAATATGTATTTGATATGGCAAATACAACAATCACAGAATGGTTTGGGTTGGAAGGGACCTTAAAGCCCATCCAGTTCCAACCCCCCTGCCATGGGCAGGGACACCTTCCACTAGACCAGGTTGCTCCAAGCCTCATCCAGCCTGGCCTTGAACACTCCCAGGGATGGGGCATCCACAGCTTCTCTGGGCAACCTGTTCCAGTGCCTCACCACCCTCTCCGTGAAGAATTTTTTCCTGATATCCAATCTAAACCTCCCCACTTTCAATTTAAACCCGTTACCCCTTGCCCTATCACTACAGGCCCTTGTAAAAAGTCCCCTCCCAGCTTCCTTGTAGGCCCCCTTCAGGTACAATCTACGTACATGTAACACCCAACAATGAAACAAAGACTGGGAACCTAGAAAACAACAACGGCCTTTAGACTCTCCCAGTGAGATAACAGCAGAGTACACAACTCCCGAAAAAAACCTCTCAATTACTATTGTAGCTCCCTAAAGGGAAGTTACTGAAAAAAATAATTTAGGGATTCTCAACAATACCTTGTTTCTTCAGTCTCTGTATAAAGATGAACAGGGCATAAGTTATGCTGCCAATCGAGAACTCACAGCACAACACCAAGCAACTCCCTTCCCTCTTGTCTTCAAGGGCAGAGATTCTCAATAAAATATAACGAATTGTCATCTTACTGCTAATGAACCTGACTTTTCACTTCTAAAAATACAAGGAATATAGCTAGATTTTCGCAAGCAAGCCAAAAGTTTCCAGGCATCCGAATAGAAGTGGAAGAGGAGAATGCCAAAGCAATGAAGAAGGATAAAGCAAAACTTTGAATCATTAATTCAAAATCACAATGCCTTAGAAGTTCACCCCTGAAAGCAGTGGCCGCCAGGATAAAGCAGAGCCCCAGCGTGCTAAATTTAGCAAAGCAGCTGCTAAATTCTTCATCCGTCCTGGTTTCTGCTAAGCCACCAATCAGCATCAGGAGTAATCTACCAGCACATAATAAAACCGCGAGTAACAACCACATCAGACAGAAGGTCTAATCCAACCTCTTGGCCAGGCGAATAAAAACCACGTGCACCTTGAACCTCTGGATTGCAGAAACAATGTTAAGAAGTAATGCCACCAAATATTAATGTTTTGTGAAAACAACAACAACACCACCACCACCTTGATATTTCAACTATATTCAGATGACACACAAGGTATTCTGTGAAAACAATGCAAGTTTATTATTCTTGTATATTAGCTGTAGCACAGAAATCACTACTGACCGCAGAATTGTGCTTGAGAATTTTAGCTTTTATTTACAGGGGAAAAAAACCAAACATCTGGCCTTGCACTGACAGAGACATTTTCTCCAAAAACTGAGCTGAGCGACTGCCTGTACATTGCTCTTTTCACAGATCTCCAGAAAGATGAAAGGTAACGGCTCTAAGCTATTTCATTCTTGCATTCTAAAGATAACAAAAATTGAAAATAAAATTGTAGAAATAAAAAAAATTCAGATACATATAATTAATGGAATCTCATTTATCTATCTATTTTCAGACTTTCAATAAGCATATTGATTTAAAATATGAAAGGACCTTGTCATAAAGTATAAATCTTACAAAATATGTTGCATCTTTTATAAAATTCCCATCCTGCAAACTCTTAATAAATGTAAATCCCACACAGATCAATGTTTACCAGGTGCAACTTCAGATTATGTGAAGCTTGTTATTGCAGTGTTGTGATATACTGACCTGGGCCCTCCTTCCTTAATGCCTCAGGTAACAAAAAAAAAAACCCTAAGGGTGGCAGAAAAGCAAACCAAGTTCACCAGCAAACTGACCTTACCTCTATACCGCGCGCTCTCTTCAGCACATTCCTTGAGGAGTCTTCGTTCCTCCTCTGTCGGGACATAAGGCTTAGGTACTTCTCTCTTTTAGTAGGGAAATAAATTAGAAAAAGAATAAGCAAAAAAAAAAAAAGTTTGGGAGATTTTTCAATTAAAAACTTTGTCTAACTTTTCCCACCAGGTAACACCTGCACTTTCACCCAACCATATGTGAGGAACTGGTGCTTTTTATCTGTAAGTGTCACATGAAAAATATCACTAAAATAACATCCAATCTTTCCACAAAGCGTGAGAGAAGAGAAACTACTTTGTGCACATTCAAATCCCCCTTTTTCTTCAGAAAAGTCTGTTCTGGCCCTTGCAACCAGCCTTACAAATTGATAAATTCTGGCAGCTCATTAAATCCTTTTTAAAAATACTTGTCAGGGTTTTGATTACACAACACGTGTTACCCGTTGACACGCATCTGTTGGGTGAAAGCTGTTTTGCCAGCAGGTGAGAAGTTCCCGCCAGAGATGCGTGACCCTCTCCTGCCGTGAGAGGCGTGCGCGACCAGGCTCCCTGCCAGCCCGCCGACCGGGAGAAGGGCAGATGCGAGAAGGCCGCCGACACGGGACAAAACACCCCCAGTGTCCGAAAGGCCGCTGGAAAGGCCTCAGGGGCACCCTCCCCACGCCCCGCACGCCGGCGGGGAACGCGCAGCAGGGGCGGGCGAGAGGCTGACAGCAA